TTAGACCAGTCAGCTGAACACAGAGAGACCATTCTGACAATCAAATAAGGGTTTTCTTAAGATGGTTCTAGCTTTTCACGTGTGATAATTTGATGCTTTTCTTTGTCATACATGACACTGAAGTGAATCTGTTTAGGGTTTGGACTGTTGGTCGGACAAAAGACATTAGATAACGTCAACTTTTTTTTAAGACAAAGCATGTTTATATAGGCCATCTGGTATTTTCAGACTCATCCAACTTTTTAGTGTGAAAAAAACACAGATCTAGTTTGAGACTGCTTTACAGCACAAACAGGAAAAGTGCGCTGTCCTTCCAGTGTCAATGTGAGCGACTGTTAAGAAGGTGGTGGTTGTGGTTGGGGTTACAGCAGATGGTGGAAGGTATGAAATCTGACAGAAAAATCACTTCAAGAAAAGCAAAAGAGAAAAGAAAGTCATCCAGTGATTGGGGGGGGGGCATAAAGAAAGTTGCAGGATAAAGAAAATATGGTCTTCATTTTGAAGAACAATAGAACGACCGACAAAACAGTATGAATGTGTCACCACACACACACACACACACACACACACACACACACACACACACACACACACACACCTTCCCTCTCTAGTGTCCTGTCACCACTCACAGATGGTGGGGTTCTCCTCATTACTCGGGCCACTTGCTGAGAGAAGGGGGGCGGGTACAGCTTGAATGGCCCAGGGGAGACGGGGAATCATGGCCGACATGGATTACGACAGAGAGATTAGCCCACGGGGAGAGAGAGAGACATGGACGGAGACAAGAGAACGTGAGAGAGAGAGAGAGAGAGAGAGAGAGAGAGAGAGAGAGAGAGAGAGGGAGAGAGGGAGAGGAAGGGAAGCAGGAACAGGCTACACAGGACCTTGAAATTAATGTGGTCCCTCTGGCTTTGGGCATCAGAAATGCTCCTGTGTGAATGGCTATTGTAGGAAGGGATGTATGGTCTTGATCTTTTAGGTACTTAAAGTCTAATAACCATCACACACACACCTCCTGTGCTTACTACACTATAAAGCCGGCAGCTGCAGCAGGAAGAAAAAAAAAAATCAACTACCTCCTCAAACACAATAGCCCTCTTTGATTCTCAACATGAGCTCTCCAGTTTTTTTTTTTTGTGGCTCTAGCTCCACTCTCTGTCCTCTCACCAGCCTCAACAAAGACAAAGACATGAGTATCATCCACACATTACAACCAGTGAACTAATGATCAGCAAGGTCTAAAAATGACAATGACAAAAGCATCTGCACCTGCATAAACTGATCGAGCTGAATTACAGGATGTGCAGCGTTAAAGCAGCCTTGTTAGTGGGACCTATGTATGAGTGCCAAATACAGTGTCAAGGACACACTCTTCAAGTACACACCCACATGACTGTGTCCTCCAGTGAAATCCACAGAAAGCATGAAAACCTCAAATCAAATAAAGTCAGTTTACATGCTAGTGTCCCTCTACTCAAACCTGAGTAGTAGGAGGAACAGTTTACAGCCTATTTCTGTTTTAACCGCTTTTAAACAGCGTCTGCCAAAATGGTGCAGTCAGTAGCATTGATGTGAGGTATTTACTTCAAATACATACATGCTTCAATTTATCATTATCATCATTTATCATCACAACGTATTAGGGCTGGTAAAGAGCTGAAACAGTCAATGACTGAAAATTTGGATCATAGATCATTTATCAGTCAAAAGCTGCAATATCAAGTCGATTTATTGGTTAGTGGATGGACAAAAAAATGAAATCAGCAGCAATTTTGATGATTGATTGTTTCCGTCGTTTTTCAAGGAGAAATACCAAAACAATTAGATTCCAGGTTATCAAATGCAACTTTGCTGGTTTTCTTAATATAGTAAATTGAATATCTTTGGGTTTGGACTGTTGGTCGGACAGGACTTTTGAAGATGTCATCTTGCAGTCTGGGAATGTGGGGCGGACATCTTCCACTGTTGTCTGATGTTTTCTAGACCAAAAGTTTGACCAATTAATCAAGAAAATGATCATCAGACTTTCCACATTATGGACTATAAAGTGCCACTAACTAACTAATTAACTAACTAAATGATAAATAAAATAATTGAAGAACTAATTATTAATCGATGATGAAAATAATCATTAGCTTCCAGTAGCTGGTAGACAAAAAAATTACTGTTGCATTCTTGATATATGTCATGATATGGGAAAATATCATGCATAACATTTATAATAATTTTGCATAATAAGATACAATTCCTCTGAAAGTTAATAAGTTATCTAACTGAAACACCATAAACTACACCATAAATCATCTCTTCATCTACAATACATGCACACACTCATACACACAAGGGTCATTTTACTGCCATGATTCAAGCCCAAGCCAATAAATAACTAGTCATGTGAGAAATTGTGTGTTTTAATAATAGATCTTATTCATTGAAGGAGTAAGGGGCCACTGATCGTAAGCTCCACGAGATACATAATTACAGATGAATAATTCAAATCATTATAATGAATAAATGGAAGGCAATTATCCTGCTCTAAGTATCAACCTGTGATTCAACATAAGCACCAGGCAACAGAGATAAGAGGGGTTTCCCAGAGTCAACAAGGGACAATCACCTGCTTTGTGGAGCGAGGCAAGGGAGAGGAGACAAAACACCAATACACACTAATGATGAAGAGGGCCTCTTACACGTGACATTCACTTTTAGAGTGGGTTTCTGTGCGTGAGTAGATTTCAGTTATTGACCAGTGGCTGGGCTGCAGATGTACTCGGGAACATAAAAAGGTTTTGGGAAGAGATGCTCCCTCAGTGTGACTGAAAAGCCTTTGTTGGGAGTCCCTGAACAAACCCCTCCTGAGCTGCGGAGGAGTGATGACGAGGATGAAAGGGAGGGCAGAACGGAGAGGGAGTCCACCATCATCTCTTTTGTCGTCCATCTGCTGTCTTAACCCGTTCCACCATTCTCCTGACAAGCTTAACCCCCCCCCCGTCACAGGTGTGAGTCTTGGTACTTAAGTTTTCCAATTAAATTTAAGGCAACACTACAAAAGAGCATCTTCAAATCATAGATGTACACCAGTGGCAGTTTCTCTATGTTTTCCCACTTTAAAACAAACACTTCTAGAACAACTTAAAAAATAACAACATAAATCTGACTACATCAACACTAGGTTAAATAGCATCTTCCTTTCATCTATAATGGAAGTAAAAAGCAGGTCCATGCAGTTTCTGATTTCTAAGAGCGAGTTTCATCACAATGATTCCTTTGTGCTACTGTCACTATTGAGATCTTACAAAACAGAAGCCAACTCTATAACCCAGGAACAGCGGAACTGCACAAATATTTTGAAAGCTAAAAATAATTTCGTCTTGGACTGCTGCCTTTGTTTGGGTAAGGCAACATTTCTCACTTTGCTGAAGACCATCAGGACACACAGTCATCACACTTTGCTTTCTTCTAGTTCAAAGACACATGACAAACCTATAAAAATCAGACAAACTAGCCATGGTAATATTACCGTGGGCTGATGCTGTAGGGTTATAATTTCATACCTTTCCATTTCCAATATGCAACTAAAAATGCTGAGTGTCTACTGCTAAACACTGGTACAGTTACTATGAAGTGTGACAGCTTTTGAACCCCTTTGATAAAATGTTAAGTTAAGAAGATTTCAGTCATACAACATCCACTCTGCCCGCCCCGTTTGCCATCATGACCTGGATAAGCAGCCAAAAATGGATAGATGAATGAGAGGATGGATGAAGTAGTGAGTAGACGTGCACCCACTATACCTCTACAAAGCACTAAATATGCCAGCATGGTTCAATACAGAGCGGGATTAGACCTAAGGGGGATTCTGAATCTATATAAGAAGTGCTGTACGAGCCTATAAGATACGTTTGATATTAGAGAGTGACTTTTAGGCTTCAATGTTAACCTGTCATTATTGATTTCCTACTAGGGTTGGGCAAAATGATGATATACTCTCTACCTTAGGAAGATATGAATTTGTCATATTCAAATGTCTTGATATGTCTGACCTGCAGTCCAAAACATATTAAGTGTACTATCATTGGTGACAAAGAAAAACCTAAAATCCTAACATATGAGAAGTTAGAACCTGCTAAAACTAAAAGGATTATGCAATTATCAATATAGTTGCTGATTCAATTTCTGCCAATCAACTAATTGTTGCAGCTCTACTCTGTCAGCGTTAACAGGTCTGAGAAGGACTATAAGACATAGAGACTTGCTAAAACGAAGCCTTTGAATAATTTGACTTTCATGCAAAAGATTGCACCTGTGCTGAGCTGCAAACACATTTCCCTGCAGTTTTTCATGATACATCCTGGACTTGTACTTTGATCATAGTGTGGTTAACCAGGTATTACAGAGTCGTTTTAAATGTGTAAATTCCCATAGGTTTAAACAGGCAAAGGCTCTACAATGTCCGTCATATAAATGGTCAATTTAGCTCAATGTAAACCTGAAGGTGTCAAAGACCTCTCACCTACAGATCCTACAACAACCAGACTACATTCACAAAAAGACAAATTTAAGAGATGACATTAACCGGTTTCAACAAACGGATATCAACATCTTCCCTTGGTACATAACACTGCTGACCCGTGTTATCCACACCTCCTTACACTAATGTAAAGCATGTGCTAACGTTAACGTGATGCTCAACTAAAAAAAAAAAAACCTCTGCAGCAAGCTACCGTTAGCAATGTTAGCCCCTAGCTGCCTCTTAGCCGTCTCGGGTTCACGTCAACCACAGTGGCAACTGTTGAACCACCATATATAAAAACACAGCAAATACAGCGGTTTTGTCACTGCGGTTACAGTAATGACAATTGTTGCTGTCAACGTCTGTGTTTAAGGTCATAATTCATTCATGTTATGCTAGCCTGCTAGCATAATGAATGGGAGGGGGTTGGGCTAGCCTACAGCATCCAGCAGCTTCTATCAACCGTTATCAGACAGAATTAACTCACCTGGTTATAGTGCACCCTGAACGGTTTCAAATAGTCGGACTCTGTGCACGGAACGACTTCAATGTTGTTAATCTCCTCCATAGTTTGGCTGGGTTGGTGGCTCAGCGATGGTTGTCTGTCACCGCACACTAACTGACAGTGAAGGAATGTCTACGGAATCCGGGAGAGGACATGAGACTCAAAGGAGCGAGGATGGCAAGAGTGGAAATGAGCAATACTACGGATGATAGTTAATTACTCGCCAGAAATATAGATTCAAACACATTCTGAAATAACAGTGCCTGCAGACTCTTCACTTCATTTTTATGATGTAGAAATATCATCTTTTGAGAACAACTTTTCTTCATCTTTTTCTTTCTTCTTTATTCCCTCCTTTTTCCCCCTCTTGCATCCTAATGTATTCTGCATGCTGAAAAGTTGCTAATAAAGGGAATGCAGTGTGTGGGATTTTTTTGGTTCCTTCATCATCAGAGACCATTAAATGACACAAACAAACAACAAACTTCATGTTATGTAAATAAAAGGCCAACAAGCACAAATTAAAATAGTATTCCGTACAGTTTAATGTTCACCCATCCATTATGTATATACTTGCTCATCCTGTGCAGGGGTGGCTGGAGTCTGTCCCAGCTCACACTAGCTGAAACAATCACAAAAATGATCAAAACGTATGCCTAACAGTAGACACAGATGACATCCAAGAAATAAAGACAAAGACAAACCCTGGTGTAATGGGTGCTACATCTCACCATTGTGTTTGGTGTTTTTAACATGCCACTGATTGGCTCAGGGGAAGCACAAGTAGAAGGCCAAAAAAAGGTGACGTAATTGTTACTAATTGTCCTAGAGGCGGAGTGCATTAATCATCAAGGGCATCACGCTTTGAAAAAAGAAGCTTTAAAATTATTTTAAACTGCACTTTTTCACCTTTTAGTGAAAATAAATTAACAAGATTTATTTAAAGACCAAATCTTTAAGTATTACACCTAGTTTATAATGAAAGTCGTTTATTTATAGATGCCAATTTGCATTGGCTGTGTTTCTCAACTGAAATACTGTATAGCCTACTAGCTCTTTTGTGGCGCTTTTACTGGTGTTCATGGTCATTGTCAGGAGATTTAAGAGCGTGGGATGCAGTTGTAAGCTTCAAAAAAAGTTAGTTACTATGATTTTTTTGTTGTCAAACTATTACTTCCAAAGTCGAATAGTTTGACATTTTGGGTAACATGCTTCCTTACGTTCTTGAAAAGAGTAAGATGAGGAGACTGATGCCACTCTCACTTTTACACTTTCACTTTTGTACAGGTTGAACAAATTGATTGATTGACTCCAGCCACCATGCAAGGATAAAGCGGTATGGCTAATGAATGAATGAATGAATGAATGAATGAATGAAATACCATAAAGCGATGCAGAATCACCTTAAAGAGATGCAAAATGACTAAGAAAGGCAAATGACTGCAAACATATGAGAAATGACTGCAAAGTGACGCAAAAACATCTACAAAGACTGAAAAGGAGCATCAAGACCAAAACTACTACTAGGACCATGTCATTTGTGGGAGTCCTGTGAAGGAGGCACGAGGGGCCTTTTACCTATATCTCATAATCCATCCATGTGAGCCACTGAAATAAAGTTTAAAAAATGTATTTGATTAATCCGATTGTGTGTTTGGAGTTTAAGTTGTGGGACTCTTTAGTTGACAGGCTGCACCTTTAAAACCCCTACACAGCTTCATATTCATGGCAGCATGATGAGAAGCCCAGCATCCTCACGATGCTGCTGAGTAAGAGATTGGTGTGGGAGCTCTTTCTCACTAACCCAGCCTTGAAGGGTGAGGCTGCATGATGTCACCCTCTCACATCAATAACAGCCTTATAATGGAAAACAATCCGCAGAGCTCCAATCTCGATGGAGCTGACTTCCTCCAACAAATGAGCACCAGTCCTCCGCCCACTACACAAGGACAGGACGTAACACTTTTGCAAGCTGATTTACATCTAAATAAATACAGGCCTAGACGAAACAATGTGTAGACCCAAAAGAGGAACCGGCGTCTCTCTTCTGGGCACGTCCAATTTATATTGCCCAATCCGGCCAAGCTGGAGTGCACGATAAGACGGGAGGGACTGCTGAGTTGAAGTATTGTGCAGGAGTCCCCCTGCTCTGGTTTATTGCCATTCTCAGAACAGTGGACACAAAGAAACTGTGGCAGAAGAACGAGAGAATAAAATGACACTACAGAATAAAGAAGTACATGGATGTATGTTGTTGCGAATAAATCACTTCTCTGTGTCCTGAACATAGTCACCTGAAGAAAGTGAATACTGTACTTTTTTTCTGCATGGTGAACTTTCCGTACACTGGATCCTCTTTTGGGCCTCATCTAAACATCACCCACAAAAAGGGCCTCCAAAAATCTTATCAGCTTCTCAGACGGGTACTGGGGCCCATAACGTGTTAATCCCATCCTTCCATAAACATGCGAGTGCAGGGTCCTGGCGGTCATGGCCAATTACTGTCCGCGGGCGGCTGACGCAGGCCAGACGTCCCTGAGCTTAGTACAATGCCAAAACCTGGAGCCTCCTGAAGCCACAAAACTTTCTCTTCCTGTCTGTCCGTGTAGTTCATCCTTCTTTTTCTTTTTTATGTCTTACTGTCTCTTAATTCACATCCTCATCCTGTTTGTCCATCTCTCATTTTTTTTTTGCTTTATGAAATCAGAACATTTATGGTATAGTTTAATACTTTTCAACATGTATGCATATGGCGACTCACATATACTCCCATAAAATGGATCAATAAATGGATCAGAAACCCATTCATTGTGTTATGTGAAGACGTTCATAAAGTAATGATACTGGTTAATAAAATATCATTTTGATTGGAGACATATGGGGTTTTCTGTTCCTAAAAAAACCTCTGTAGATCATTACATGAACCGCAGTAGTCAAGAGAACCATTTGTTGTTGTGGAAACTTTGAATTAACCCGTATTTTAAAAGGAAAAACTGAGTGGTCTATCCATAGCACAGTTTATCAGTCAGGGTCAAGCAGGGATTTGGGACAGGACCCCAGGGAATGCACTTAGCCAAGGTGGCTGCTGCACCTCTGTTAGCAGGCTCAGGGTGTGGGTCAAGATGACCGGTATCCTCCCGTCCAGCAGTCTGGACGTTCAGCCGCCACTTGCCTCGTCCAGGAGACGCTCCTAAATCCTCCCACGCGAGCTTGGATTTCAAAATAGCGCCACGTGTCAAAAGGGCACTCGATATCTCAGCACAGAAATCTGTATGTTGTGTGGTTGAGGTGTGTGAGGTGTTGATAGAGGATCCACGGTGAAGACATGATGGTGACAGGACTGGGCTTATCAAGTTCCATATAAACTGATCAGGCATAAGGTGGGCAGACTTGAGACTTGAATTTGAGTTAGATTCAAAGCTGCAGTAATCAATATTTTTAAATTGGATTAAATGACCTTGTGTAACGTGAAATCATCGCTGGTAGTGTTGAACCTGACGCGTTGAACCCCGAGCTTTTCAGTGTTTCTCATTGTTTTGGTTTTGCAGCCCACAGCTGAACTGTCTTGGTTTAGTCTCACTGCAACATGCAACTGCACCAATCAGCAGACACACACAGCTACAGTTACAGACACAGCTGATAAACATAGTGGAGCATTTAGTACCTAATGCAGCAGATGTACTGCAGGGATTACGTATTTTTGTAGGCCAACCCAGAAGTTGACATCACCCTGGTTCCCTCGACAAAAAGCCAATGGGATTTTTTACATTGGCTTTTGGATTACTGCAGAAAATAAGTTCTGTGACAAACAAAGTTTCTTCCTACAAAGTTAGTAGTAGTTTGCCAAAGCGCCATAAAAGAGACATAAAAGATTAAGGAAATCACAACTGGTGTACTGAGGTATTTCATGTCACAGAATAAAACGTGAAAATATCTAGAGCTTGTGTTAACCACAGACCTTATTTCAGCCATCTAACCAAAAACCCACAAACCTCAGGCCGAGGGAACAGGAAGTGGTAAAATGCTAACTAATTTCTGGGTTTTAGGACTCATTCTGCCCTCAAGTGGCCAAACAATCTATTCGTGCAGGTTTGAGTCCCAAAAATCATGACTTGAGTTATCTGTGGCCTGACATAATTTAGACTTGACTGATTTGAGTTAAGAAGGAAGACAAAAATATTCTAGTTTGATGTTTTGTGCTGGTAAAAATAGTGACGTGATGGCTTTGAACGGTCACACACCTTCAATATTGAAGCATATGCATTGAAATATCTTGTTAAAAAACATTATTACAGCTTTGAAAGAAAAAGATCCAAATGTCAAGTCATCTAATGGTCAGCATGCAGAAACCTGAAACACCTTCAAATAACTTGAATTTGGTTGTGATAATAAAATGTTTAAAAATGCTTATCAGCAAAGAGTACGTACAGTAAAACAACACAGCAAGGTGTGCAGCATGTGTCTGCTTACTAGCTTCATCAGCAGGGTAAGTGAATCCGATCTATGTTGAACTGCCTCATGAAGAGAAAATCCCTCCTCCTTTAACACTCTCAAGGCCATTGTAATGGAAAACCTCGTCTGTCAGGCCCGTATATTTTTAGGAAAAGCTATTATTGTTCTGTTCCCTTGTTGCTTGCGTGCCCCAGGATGTGTTCCCCCGAACAAGGTCAGAATTCCTGTTTTGTCATCATTATTCTACCAGAGAATAGGCACCTCACCCGCAGTGCTCTCAGTTCACTGGGGTTCCTGCTACTTGTTTGTCTTCCATGGATACAAATAGACCAGAAATGGCATTCGGTGGAAGCTAAGTAAAGCTATTGTGGCAGAGAATAGTAAGAGTCAGTCAAACTCAGCTGGAAGTTGCACTGAAGTCATTTTCCATAGAGGGACCGGGCTTTCAGGAGACCCAAACATTTTTTAAATACACTTTATTAATTAATCCTTGAAGTCTCTCAAGTCTCATTGATGCTGTGATATTACTATGGTACTAGTTTTGTATATTATATTTTCATATAATATTAACAAGGTCCAAATTCATCATCACCCAAAAGAGTAGTTAAAAAAAAAACATCACAAAATGTCCAATTTCATTTATTCATTTTTACTGTTTGGA